CTCAGGATTCAGCGTGGAGTTGGAGGGTGTTTGTAGCCTAGCACTTGTTTTAGTAGCCACTCAGCCTTTCTAGCGTGTGAAATGAAATGTAAATAATATATATTTTTATTGGTATAACTTTGCATTTAAAATGTGGAAGAGGTTTCAAGTAGCAGATGTCTATTTTTAAGCTGTTTTGGTATAGATTAAAAGGGGAAAAAAAAAACAAAAAAAAGAAGAAATAAATGCCTGTCATGCATCCACTTACCTCCACTGCCTGCTGGGCCTCCTGTGTAAAGAAAGATTTGTGTCACATCTGCAGCGAGTGTATAGGAAGAGGTGAAAGTCTTCAATGTTAAAATTTTCCAAGTTTTTTCCCTACCATGCTTGCAGTTCCCCAAGAACTGGAAGTTCTTGAAATTGAAGTCCTCCAAGAAGACAACTCCTCCTCATGGCTCTCTAAAGAGTTACAAGGATGTTTCTTGCTCTTCTCTCTCACTCTTTGAGTTTTCTCAGCAATGGGTGGTAAGAGTTTAAGGACAGTTGTGTGGGAACTTGGGAAAAATTAAATCACTGAACTATTTGTGTAAGAACCAGCACCAGCTCACTGCTAAAACAAGCCTGGATCTAGTTCAAGAAGTAATCACAAGCTGTCCGTGGGGGGTGAGGGCAAAGGCTCCTACCTGTGGAGCCACACTGCCACTTTTGATGTGTGGAGAAATGTTCAGTGCTTTTCAGCCTTTAAAAAAACAAACAGCTCAAGTTTTAGAAGCACATTAAGCTCATTTAAAGGCTGTTCAATTGGTTTTGCAGTCTGACAATGTGGGGCTGTATTGCCTTGTTTCTCCTCACAATAAAACTGCAGGTAACAGCTCCCAAATTCTGTTTCCAAGCCAATTTTTACTACAAATGACTTGTTATTTTTCCCAGACTTATCAAGAATTTTGTCACAAATGCTGTATTCACACTGGGAACCTGAAGAATGAGGCCTTTAGGTGGGGTTTATACTGATGTGGGTTGGAAAATGACTTGGTGGAAGAATTTTGTCCAAAAAGCTGTTTTCACACTGAACACTCAGCAGTCTTTAGGTGGGGTTTGTATTGAATTTAGTTACAGAACAACTTGATTCTCAAAAAATTTTGTCCAAAACACTGTTCTGACACTAAGAACTGAAAAAAAAAGCTCTTTAGATGTGGCTTGTTTACAAAACGACTTGACTCTTAAGAATTTTGTCCAGAATACCGAATTCAATACAAAGCCTCAAAGCAAGAAGGCTTTAGGTGGGGTTTATACTGTTTGATTCTAGGGACCCCTCACTTTTGATTTTTTTGGTGAAAATCTGTTTTTTGCTTATGTAAAGAAACCAGAATGAGGCGTTCGGGGCAAAATTTATCTGAATGCGAGTGAATTTTAATTCTTATGCGTTGTTAATGGTGATTTAAACCCCCGAGGCTGTTCCTCTACCCTGAGGGGAGATGTGACTGAGGGGAGATGTGACTGAGGGGAGATGTGACTGAGGGGAAAAAACC